TCCTTTTTAGTTATGGAAGAAGCCAGATACAATAACTTATCCTTCACTTTATTAGGAATATCTTGACATACCCCACACCATTACACCCCTAGATATTTCACTGAGGTGGAAGGAGCCTGAATTTTTGTTGGGTTAATTTACCACCCTCTGGCATGCAGATATCTCACCAATAATTCTAGAATAATTGATACTTCTTCTGTACTAGGTCCAATCAGCATAATGTCATCAATATAATGGACCAGTATGATGTCTTGTGGAAGGTAAAGGTGATCAAGATCCCTATGGACTAAATTATGACATAGTGCTGAGGCGTTGATATACCCCTAAGGAAGGACCATGAAAGTATATTGTTGGCCTTGCCAGCTGAAGGCAAATTGCTTCTGATGGTCCCTTGAAGTTGGTATTGAGAAAAAGGCATTGGCCAGATCAATAGCTGCATACCAAGTACCAGGAGATGTACTAATTTGCCCAAGCAATGAAACCACATCAGCAACAGCAGCTGCAATTGGAGTCACCCCCTGATTAAGTTTACGGCAATCCACTGTCATTCTCCAAGATCCATCTGTTTTTTGCACTGGCCAAATAAGTGATTTAAAAGGGTATATGGTGGGAATCACCACCCTGCATCCTTCAAGTCCTTGATTGTGGCAGTAATCTCTGCAACCTTCCAGGGATGTAGTGTTGCTTTTGGTTTACTATTTTTTTTAGGCAGAGGCAGTTCTAATGGCTTCCACCTAGCTTTTTCTTTCATAATAGCCTTTACTTCACATGTAAGGGACCCAGTGTGGGAATTCTGCCAATTGCTCAGTATATCTATTCCAATTACACATTCTGAAGCTGGGGAAATCACTATAGGATGGGTTCAGGAACCCAATGGACCCACTGTGAGATGCACCTGAGCTAAGACTCCAACAATAACTTGACCTCCATATGCCCCTACTCTGACTGATGGGCCACAGTGATGCTTTGGGTCTCCTGGAATTAGTGTCAGTTCAGAGCCATTATCCAGTAATCCCTGAAAAGTCTGATTATTTCCTTTTCCCCAATGAACAGTCACTCTTGTAAAAGGCCTCAGATCCCTTTGGGGAATGCTGGGAGAAAGATTGACGGTATAAATTTTTGGCAATGTAGTGGGGTCCTTCTTCAAGGGGACCTGGCCTCCCCTTCATTCAAGGGGTTGTGGGTCTGTAAACTGACTCAAATCTTGGAACTGATTGAGGGGCCATGACTCTGTATTCTGGTGATTCAATCTAGACTGCTGTTCATGTGACCTAGAATTCTATCTACACAGATCAAGTAAATATTTAGTAGGTTTCCCATGTATTTCACTCACAGGAATACCATGCCCACGTAGCCAATGCCATAATTACACACAAGTCAGAGTATTCTGATTACTCTTTTGATTCTGCTATCCATTATGGTAACTATGGCCACCTTGTCTTTGTCAATCAACTGCTGCCACTTGTCCCCTACTACCACAGGGTCCAATCAGCCCCATCATAGTTAAGTGTCTTAGTTCAATTAGGGTAGTTCCTACTGTCAAATCTGGCTTACATAAAATAGCAATCACAGTAGTCTTCAAGGATGCTGGGGCTCCCTTCAAATATTTGTTCCTCACCTGAGTGGTAAAAGGTGTGTCCTCTGGGTTCTCCATTTCTGGGTCTAGAGATCTAATTTGATAAATCCATTCTAACAGGTCAATTTCCCTAAGCCTCTGGATATCTTCTTCTACACTACACCAAGGCAGGTCTGGTACTTCAACTTGACTTATGGTTTGTTGTTGTTGTTGTTATGTGCCGTCAAGTGAGCCCCGACTCATAGCGACCCCTCCTTGGGTTTCTGAGGCAATATCACTACAGAAGTAGGATTGCCCAACCTTCCTTCCAAGGAGTGGCTTCTGGGTTTGAACTGCCAGCCTTCTGGTTAGCAGTCAAGTGCCTTAGGCATTATGCTACCAGAGCTCCTATACATTAGGGACCCTAAATTTGTCCCATTTTTTCCCTTGATGAACTTTATAGTTTTAGATTTCACATTTAAGTCTTTGATCCATCTGAAGGTAGTTTTTGTGTATGGTGTGAGGTACAGATCTTGTTTCATTTTTCTGCAAATGGATATCCAGTTTTGCCAGCACCATTTATTAGACAATCCTTCCCCTTTTAATGGATTTCAGCCATTTTAAAAGTATTCTTGAAAATAGCATTTATTTTTTCATGGCAACAACTTCTTGTATTAAGAATGTAATATCTTATTGAGATAATTATTTTATTTAAAAACTATAACGCAATTATCTTCTGAATATTGAATTGTATTAGTTTAATGAAAAACTTTTTTTCTCTCTCTTTCTCTGGTATTTCTCTGTTATGCAGTTCCTCTCTGTTCCAACATTTGGTGATTTTATTTTTTTTTTGTTGTTTGTTTATAGTTATAAATGAGGACCTACATTAGAGTCTCTAAGTGTGGTATCACACCCAGGGTGGATTTTTGGAAATCTGTAAGTCATTAGCTACTGTCACAGTGATCTGGGTGTTTTTGACATTCAGTGAAAGGGTGCCATGGATGCTAAGCATCCTATTATGCTAGGATACGTGACAAAGTTCTATGTAACAAAGAATTGTCCTGTCCTGCATGATTTTCAGTGTCCAACCAAACATTCATATTGGTAATAAAACAAAACAAAACACTAGTTTTTACTTATTTGAGGCTGGAACCTAACTCCATTTTACAGATAAACCTAAAATATTTTTGTATAGTTTAACATACATTGAATGTCCTACATTTATAACCACCATGTAAGTTAATGGAAAATGGTATTTTCCTTTGTTCAGAACTTTGCCAAGAGCTGTTGACCATTTTCAACAATCATGTGACTGATGGTAATATACTTGTTCTATTTAAACTGACAATATGATGCACCTGTTACAGTGCACATTTGTAGTTGTAATATCTCCTAGTGTATTTGTAGCCAAACACTTACCTATTGATATACATATTATGTTATTAAAAATCGCTTTCCTTTTATTTCTCTTGAATATAGTACAGTTAGGGCATTGTCATAGATCAAATTGTGTCCCCTCAAAATATGTGTCAACTTGACTGAGTCATGATTCTCAGTGGTTTGGCAGTTAGGTAATGATGTAATTATCCTCCATCACGTGCTCAACCAATCAATTATAAGGGGATTAGGGTATGATGCCCTGATCCAATGTAAGGGGTACTTCCTGGCATATGGTCTGCATCATGTTTCATCTTACAAAAAGAGAGATAAGTGAGCAGGGAAGGAGATAAGTGAGCAGGGAAGGAGGGACCTACTACCACAAAGAAAGAAGAGGCAGGAGTGAAGCTCATCCTTTGGACCCAGGGACCCTGTGCTGAGAATCTCCTATATGTAATGGAATAATGATGCCAAGATACATGGAGATCTCCAAGGCATGCTGTGTGCACGAATGTTGAAAGGAGACAAAGTCCTTGCCCTAGAGCTGACACAGAGAGAAAACCTTCCCCTAGAGCTGGTCTCCTTGAGGATCAAGGTGCGCCTGACACAAGACTTGGTATTTTCAATTACCTTATATGCATGTGAGAGCTGGACAATGAATAAGGAAGACCGAAGAAGAATTGATGTTTTGAGCAGTGGTGTTGGCAAAGAATGCTTAAAGTACCGTGGACTGTGAAAAGAACTAACAGGTCTGTCCTGGAGAACGTGCAGCCAGAATGCTCCTTGGAGGTGAGAATGGCCAGACTCCGTGTCACATACTTTGGTCATGTTGTCAGAAGAGATGATTCCCTGGAGAAGTATGTCATGCTTGATAAAGTGGAGGGTTGATGAAAGAGGGGAAGGCTCTCAACGAGATGGATTGACATAGTGGCAGCGGTGATGAACTCAAGTATAGCAAGAATCATAGAGCTGGCTCAGGACCGGGTGGTGTTTCGTTCTGCTGTGCATAGAGTTGCTATGAGTTGGAGATGATTCGACGGCACCTAACAACAATAACAGAGCTAGCACCCTCAATTTAGACTTCTAACTTCCTAAATTATGATAGAATAAAATTCTATTTATTAAAGCCATCCATCTGTGGTATTTCTGTTTTAATAGCTCTAGATAAGCAAGACAAAGATTTTAGAAATTTTCATAAGTAACAGGTATAGTTAGGTATGTTATAAGTTTCATTGCAGGGTAATAAAGGTATGTTAGAAAATTGTTATAAAAAGGGAGATGAAATCTATGAAGAGGCCAAAGTGCCAGGGAGATAGGACAAAAGAAGGATGGAAATGTCCAATCATAAACTTTCCTTAAGGATTTCCTCACCTGTTGGGCTATTGGAAGTTACTCAGCATTACTTTGTTTCTCTTTCTTGCCCAATGTTGACTCTGGATGTGTCTAGGGACAGGTCATGCAGTTCCTTTATAGAGGTATTCTCTTGGCCCTAGTTTAAGAGTAAATGCCTGAGCCAGCAGCTCTGAGAGCAGGGAAGTAGCTCAGCTATTCCACAGACCTTTAATTAATTATCCTGTGGACTGCCTCAGGGTCTCTTCCTAGTCTTCTCTGTGATCCTGGAGTTTTTCTAAGGCTCTACTGAAAAATTCACTATTTCAGCAGTCTTGTCTTTCATCTCTATCTTATTATATGGTCTTTTGCTCAACTGAGCTGAACTTTCAAACTGCTTCATATTGTTCAAAAATGCCTCAATGTTGACATCATCCTTTCAGGTTCACAGTGCTGCTGTGGATTTATTTTTATATTCTACATTCTGAAGAGGTTTTGGATGTAAGGTGCAGTATAGACATGTTTTTAGTCAGCTGTCTCCAGCTACAAGCCATTGTGAGCATTGCAAATAGTCTCCCAGTACAATTGGTACATTGATATTTCTACTGATTAGCAATCAATTTTAGGCAACCAATATACTTTAAAAAATTAAGTTGTCAGACTTGAAATGCTCTTTTTGTTTTGTTAACTAAATTTAAAAAAAGAAGAAGAAAAAAGGTAAAATATGCAGAAAACTTACAATCCATATCAAGCATGGCACGAACAGATTTAATAAGCTCCTTAGATTCAAGCGCCAGCGTTGCAAGGATATTACGTCCATTCCTTCCCAATTGTGTGAGAGAAGTTTGAGAAGTTAACACAGCTCTTCTTTCACTAAAAGGAAAATAAAGTTGAACATATTATCCAGTAAAGAATACCTACCTTTGAGAAATCTGGAAGGAGCTCTGGTGGTGCAGTGCGTAAGGCATTTGGCTGCTAATCAGAAGGTCAGTGGTTCAATCCCACTCACTGCTCTGCAGGAGGAAGATGAGGCAATCTACTTCCATAAAGATTTACAGCCTTGGAAACCCTATAAGTTGCCATGAATTGGAATCGCTCAATCGCAGTGGGAGTGGGTTGCTAAATCTGAATTCTTGTTAGTTATAAATTTGTACAAAAATATATCCATTTCTGGGAACACTGTATTCTTATAGCATGTTGTTGTGTGCTGTCTCATTGCTTCCAACTCACAGCAACCTTACATGACAATGTCTAGACTCCATCTAGTTTATCTGCCCTATAGAGTTTTCTAGGGAGCAGATCAACAAGTCTTTCTCCTGCGGAGCGGCTGGTGTGTTCGAACTACCAAACTTTTCAGTTATCAGCCAAGCATTTAACCATTTAAATGCTCCTCTTATAGCTATAAATGAAATAATTCACACAAAATATTTTATCTGTCTTCAATTCTATACTACTGAATAAATAGGAATATTTTTTAAAATTAGGTTAACTTCTTATCTTTGGAGCAAGTAATAGAAGAATGGTCTCCTTCCTAAATAATGTAAAGGGTTTACTTTGTGAATGCTTACATTATGCTAACATGATGTTGTCTTTCATTTAGCTTTTATAAACATTCAAATTAATAATTTAAACATATTGAACATTTGCCATTACATCTTGTAATATTAAATATAAATTCAATATATATATTCATTTCTGAAATAATTTCTTACATACTTCTATTTCTTGCTCCTAAATATAAAATAGCCTAGTGCTCTTATATTACCTTATTTAAATGCAAATGTCACCTGTAATGAGTATAATTAAGATGCAAGGTCTTACTGCAAAAAACCATTAAGCTAAAACTTCTCCTTTGAAAAGAGACAGTTTTAAATTGATGATAAAATTATGATGCCTTACAATCTATCTTCTTAAGCATGATGGTATTAGTTCATCAAGATAAACTAAAGTATCAATTCTCAAATTCAAATATATAGGCTTTAATCTGTGCAGAATGACCAAGACCAATATCCATTACAGAAGATACGGAATATTCCAAAGACTTGAACACATTGTACTAATGTTTATCCTTCTAAGATTTGGTGAAATGTAGCTTAATGTAGCTTTTTAAAGTTGTTTTTTTTTTCAACAAAACAGTTTAGGGCAAGGGCAGGTTCTGGCTCTTAAACAGTCATTTAAAAAAAAAAATTATTGCGATTTGGGTGAAAGTTTACAGAGCAAATTCATTTTCCATATAGCAGCTCACATACACTTTGTCTCATGACATTGACTGCAATTTCACACAGTGCAACAGCCCCCCTCCCACTTCTTCCCCATAGCCACCTCTTCCCTGTGTCCTTCCCTCCCATGCACTCCTGCCCCTGGAGCTGTCTCCTTGTGCATACACAGCCCTTCTATTCTCCCATGGTTGATCTCTCCAGGAGGTGTATCTACCTAATGTAAATATTCAGCTCATATGCCTGTCTTTTGTTTGGCTGGAAGCCACAGGAGTGGGTTCAATTCCAGACCTGAAGGGCAGCTAGGGGCCATAGTCTCAGGGGTTCCACCAGGCTCTATCAGACCAGCAAACCTGGTCCCTTTTTTTTCAAATGACTTTGAGTTTTGTTGCACATTGTTCTCCATTCTATCTAGGATCTCCTACATAGATCCCCCTCCGAGTGGTTGACAGTGGTAGCTGGGTACCATCTAGTTCTTTTGGTGTTACGGTCATTGTGATGGTTATGTTTTTGTGTCAACTTGGCTAGGCCTGGTTGACTGGCTGGGCAGCTGGATGTAGTATTCCCCATGATGAGACTGGCAATCAACTCCATGGTGGAATCTTAGTTGGAGCTGTGTGTCAACTTGGCTAGGCCTGGTTGACTGGCTGGGCAGCTGGATGTAGTATTCCCCATGATGAGACTGGCAATCAACTCCATGGTGGAATCTACTGTGAGAAGCTGAGTAGCTGCCTTAGGGAATGTGGTCTGCTTCCTGTATATAAAGAGAAGCCTTGGGAATGGTCTCTAACATATGGCATGCTTGGACCTGGAATGTAGCTGAGTTGTTGTTCAGCAGCCTACCATGCTCTGCCGACCTTGAGATTTACACTTAACTTGAATTAATGGCCTGCTGTGTGGTTTGGTAACATCGGGACTGTAACATTTTATTTGTCAACCATGGGCTTGTTAGCCTCAGCAACCAGTAGCTGCCTGAGTGAAGAGATGCCTTTAGCTTTAGTGGGCCAGGAGCAAGAGGCAGAGCTAAAGCCCCAGGATATGGGGCTTTCACACAGCCCCTAGAGCCTGGCACTTTGAGCTTGGACTTAAAGTCTCCAAATTGTAAGAATAAACTCCTATTTGTTAAGGTCATCCATTTTTGTGGTATACTCCTGTCAGGGCAGCACCAGGTAACCAGAACAGAATTTGGTAGTGAGAGAGTGGGATGCTGCTCTGACAGATACCTAAAATGTGGAAACAGAACTAGAGTGCGTCCTTGACCCCAGACCCTAGCAGAGAGACCTCAGCATATGGCATGACAGACAGCAGGAGCAGAGTCAAGAGACAGGCATGAGAAACAGTAGGATCAGAGCCAAGAGACCAGCATGAGAGACGGCAGTAGCAGAGCCCAGAGACTGGCATTAAACAGCAACAGACTTACCAGCCCATGGAGGAGAAAGCCGGGTGCCATTGGGTACGCAGCTTCCTGGCAGAGTGGGTTGCCTTCAGGCATTAATTGGTGGAAGAGACCGGCATGAAACTGAGTAGCAGGTTGGCTGGCCCGTGGAGTAAGAAAGCTGAGTGCTTTCTTTTGGGCAGGAAGATTTCCTGTGGAGTGGGTTGCCCTTGGGCATTAATTGGCAGAAGCAGAGAGACCAAGGAAATGGAAGCAGAGCTGTGTCAGCTTGAAAGAGTAGGACCATGGCCTTTGAGGGTGGAACCACCACAGCCCCCTAGTTTGGTCACTATGCCCAAGAGGGAGAGGAATGGGCCCACCAGGCCAAGGGGGTGAGGTCACCACTTAAAGGAACTAGGGGACTGAAGCCACCCAATGAAGATCTGTTCATGTGCCAAGTTGACAAGGGGTGGAATTGTGGTGGTTATGTTTTTGTGTCAACTTGGCTGGGCCTGGTTGAGTGGCTGGACAGCTGGATGTAATATTCCCAATGATGAGACTGGTAATCAACTCCATGGTGGAATCTACTGTGAGCAGCTGAGTAGCTGCCTTAGGGGATGTGGTCTACTTCCTGTATATAAGGAGAAGCCTTGGGAATGGTCTCTAGCATATGGCATGCTTGGACCCTGCATGCAGCTGTGTCATTGTTCAGCAGCCTGCCATGCTCTTCCGACCTTGGGACTTACACTTAACTGAATTAATGGCCTGCCATGTGGTTTGTAACATCGGGACTGTAACATTTTATTTGTCAACCTTGGGCTTGTTAGCCTCAGCAGCCAGTAGCTGCCTGAGTGAAGAGATGCCTTTAGCATCAGTGGGCCGGGAGCAAGAGGCAGAGCTGAAGGCCAAGGTTGAGGGGCTTTCACACAGCCCCTAGAACCCGGCACTCTGAACTTGGACTTAAAGCCTCTAAATTGTAAGAATAAACTCCTGTTTGTTAAGGTCATCCCATTTGTGGTATATTACTGTCAGGGTGGCACTAGGTAACCACAACAGTCACAGGCTGAGGATTGCATGGTGTACCAGTTGCTTGGACTAATTGTTTCCATATGTATTTGGTTTTCTTCATTCTTCTTTGCTCTGGATGAGGAGAGACCCATTGTTGCATTTAGATGACCACTTGCAAGCTTTTAAGTTCTCAGTTGCTACATGGTCATTTTTAACCTTCAGTTTTAATGTTGAAACTTTGGAATTACTAGTCAAGGTCACAAAGAGATCAGGGGGAGGGAAGAAACATCTAATGTTTACAAGGAGCATCTGACTGCTGAGTATTTTAGCATCCTTCTGAAAATAATCATCGTGGAATACATATATATCATAAACAGAATGGGTAATAATAAAAAATGTCAGATTTCTTAATTCTATGAAATAAAGTATTATATTAAATGAACTTAAAAATGAACAACTACAGATAGTTCAAAAGTGTTATGTGGAAGTGTACAATATAGTAATACACTGAATCATCTTCTCTTATTAAACTGCTGTTTTCATAGTAAAGGGTATAGCTTTCTTATGTTTCTGCAAATGTACATTAGTAGAAGTAGACTACTTCACATATCAAGAACTAGTAGCAGCTGCTATAAGATGAAGAAAAAATTACATGTATACACAGGAATCTTTTTTTCTGTTTGTTTATATTTTTCATCATGTATCAGAATGACCACTAAATTGTGGTTTGAGGTAAATAAATCTTAGTGTATTTGTAGCTCCTAGTAGGAAATTTTAAATTTGAAAATACTGTGAATAATAAGAAAATCAAGGTGTATTCTCCAAATATATTTCTTTTATTTATATCTGGTTAATGACAAACATGAAATAAATACATTTATGTATATGTTTTGCAAATTCTGTTTGCCTTATCAACTGATCTGCTGAGTTGACAGTGATCTTTAGCACTGAACTTGTGACCATTAACTTTTATTCATGCACAGCATGTTTACTTTAAGGAGCTGTGGTGGTACAGAGGTTAAGCATTTGGTGGCTAAATGAAAGATTGGTGGTTTGAATCCACCAGCTACTCCGCAGGAGAAAGATGTGTCTTACGGGATTAACATGTATCGGAACTGACTTGAATGGCAACAGGTTTAGGTTTGGTTTGGTTTATGCTTACTTTGCACACATGGGGTTGCTATGAGTTAGAATAGACTCAACAGCACCCAAATGCAACAAAATGCTTAAAGAACTTCAAGTTAATCTCATCTTTACAGAATTCCTGGGAAAGATATGATAGGTGATTCCTGCCTCCATTTTAATGACAAAGGACTGAATTGTTGTTAGTTGCCTTCCCCTCCATTCTGAGTCATGGTGACCACATGCATACAGAGTAAAACTGTTCCATAGGGTTTAAAAGGCTGTGTGTGACCTTTCAGAAGAAGATCACCAGGCCCGCCTTCCTAGGCACTTTTGGGTTGTTTGAACCACTAACCTTTTGGCTAGCAGTAGAGTGCTTAACTGCTTGTGCCACCAAGGGATTCCTAGAGAACTGAAGAAAGGTTACAAACCAGCTGCCCTCCAGATGATTCTGACTCATGGTGACCCCAAGTGTGTCAGAATGGAACTGGGTGCCCCAGGGGTTTCCATGGCTGATTTTTCAGAAGTAGATTGCCAGGCCTTTCTTCTGAGTCAGCTCTGTGTGGACTCAGATCTCCAACCTTTAGATTATGGGCTGGGTACATAAACTGTACACCCAGGGACTCCATAAGGTTAATGACTGGCTAAATAACCCCAGACTTCCTTTGCAGAAATGGGAGCAAAAATAATGTGTTCTTGCACCTGTTTCCATAAGACATTAAACAATGACATTCAGTAAGATATGTTACATCTTAAGATTACTTAAATTATTTTAGTATTTTAATCACAATCAGATGAAAAATTCAGTAAGTGGCCATACTTTGTAGAAAGCACTTAAATATTCTTACCTTAAATTTGAGAAAGCAGAATTATCAGAAAATACTTCTTGAATAGCCTAGTGACAAACAAGATAGTGAAGATGGTTTTTAAAAATGTCTTTTCTTGCTTAATATTTACAATCCCCATGTCCTAAATGACTAAACAAGTGTTTCTGTTATTTGAGGAAAAAAAAGAGAATCAATTACACTAATATGTAATTCTACTCAGGAACAGAACACATACGGAAATATTTCTTTAAGGGGTAAATATTTATCAAATAATGCTTACATACTATCAAGATTTTTAGGAAAATATTCATTAAAACCAAGCAATAGTTTAAGTTGTAAAGAATTTCTGTGTTGAGCACTGTATTCTTTTAAGATCTATCTGAGATCAAAATGAGATCTATCTGAGATCAAACTGATGATAGCGACTCAAAATATTAGATAGGAAACTTTGAGAGCAATGAGTTTATGTTAAGAGAGGAGGAACAAGTTGGAAAAGAACAGTGAGAATGGTTGCACAACTTGAAGAACATAATCAGTATCACTCAACTGAGAAATTTATTGAACTGATGAATGTTCTGTGTATTTTTTCAACAACAAAAATAAAGTAAATGATTAAAAACACCTCAAAAAACATAGTGAATATTTAGAACCATGTTACTCTATTTTAATTATTTCTTTTCATATTCTATTTTATATTAGCTGGTCCATTTGTTTTCTATATAATTTTAAATCTGACAGGTCAGCACTGCTATTTTGAGTCCAGAGAATATTTGGTTAGTTGTCAAAGAGTGTGGAATTTATTTATATGCCAGTTGTCTATATATATCTTAAAAATGAACATAGTATAATGGTAACAGAAAAATTTACCTCCACAAAATGAAGAAGCTTTTCAGTGCATGCCTCAAAAGTTTTACAAGCCATTTCTGATTTTCGCAATTGGCAGTCAAGCACTGTGATTCTCTTTCTTAAGTCTTGAGTACTTTCCTGGACAGAGATATCAAAAGAAGCATCTTACATACTTCTTTCATTTTACAACAGTGACTCCTATTTTCAGTTTTATTAACTAACGTTGAGTATCACCATATCATTTATTTTCTCTTTTACTTTACATATCTTCTGATTATGGAGAGGGGCTGCAGTGTAGTAAATTACTTAGTGTGGCTTTTCTACCCATAAGTCTTTGTAAACTCTGAGATGGAATTTGCCATGAGGAGCTCCTGATTGCTAAAGTTGTCTACCTGGGGTATTTATGTTGGGAGTGGCACTAAGCAATGTTCTGGGAGTTTCCTGCTCTCTCTCAGGTGTTTAGAATTCTGATGTTATGATTGGCTAGTTTGGCCACTCTGCCAGGCTCAAAAGGAGCCCTCCTAGAGGCAGAACTCTCCCTCTGCTGGCTGAGGAAGGATGCACCCCTGAGAGACACGTGCTGCTGGAAAAGAGATGCAAGAGACATGCATTGCTGAGAAAGACACCGAGGGACATGCACTGCTGGGAGAGAGACTGTGAGAGACGGCAGGCTGGGAGAGAGACTGAGTAGTTTTTCTGAACTTGAATTATAGCTTGGTGCTCCCCTAATAAACCCCATAATCTGTGAGCTCTGTGTGGCCACTGCAGTGAATTATCAAACCCAGGAGAGAAGTGGTAGGTGCTTTGGGAGGAAAGGCTGGAAGGAGGCAGCATGTCTGGCCTTGCAGTAATAGGCCTTGGGCTATTGATGGTGATTCTGTCTTCCTCTTGTGGGGTTAGAGGAGGTCAGAACATGTGGCTTCCCTGCTTTTTTTGTAGTTGGTGTCAGAAGTGGGATTCACTGCAGTGGCTCCAGACTCATGGAAGCGTGAGACTTTGTAAAAAAAAGAAGGA